CAATTCTTTTGACAAATTCCTGAGTAGCATTTTCTTCTCTATATAGGAATGGGCCCCATACCTTTCCAGTATCGATCTAGTGAACCAAGTAGCAAAAGTATTGGCCTTCTGTTCAGCAAGCTTTCGCATTTGCCCTCCATATTTCTCATTGCATTTCTTATTATCAGCCTCAAAGTCAGCTATAATAACACATGGAGCATTGATCATTTATCCATAGTTCTTAAACTTTTCAAAGTCATTGACATCTTTGGTAGGTAATTTGACTTCTTGAGTTGCTTCTCCTAAACTGAAACAGTGCTTTTGATAATAGGCTAAAGATTTTTCTGAATGAAAGCTTTGAAAGCATCGGTTGCATAGATGCTTTTTGCTATGATACTTTGTATCTTTGTATACTAATTCTTTATGGTTTTTGATCCAAAGAAAGTGATTCTTTTGCTCATACTTATCATCTTTGGATTTGGTAATATCTGTAAGAGCCATTAGATATATAATATGTTGTCTATTATAATTTTTGCTTGCTATTACAGGTTTAGGAGTAGCTGTTTCTTCTTTTCATTCCCAGATATTAATAGAGATATCTGGGCTCATCTCCTCAATTTTATTAAAAATACGTGAGCAAATTGGAGTTAGCATAGGAACTCCATCTAAATTGACTATATCCAGATATGGTTGAAGAATAGAAAGACATTGTAAATTTTTATTTTCACCTCTATTGCTTGCAAAATATGCACCTAAAGTATATTTTAAACACATGTCATCACCTGTTTGAGAGTTATCTAGATTAATAGTGCATTTAGTATTGGCAAGCTTCTTTGGATTCGAGATATATGATCCACTAGTAGCTCATCGATATGTATAAGCTTCAATATATAATTTTTCTATTCGAACTAATTGCCAATTTGATCCTCATCTTAACATTTCCTCAATATCTTTATCTATTTCTGAAGCTGACTGAGATATATAATAATCTATATCATTTTCTGATAAAAGAGAACGCATTTTACTTCTGTGATGACAATACATTATATTATTTTCCTTATCCTCTTTTTTTAACGATTTGTTTACTTTTTCATAATAGCAAAGGGCAACTAATACTGATTTTATATACTCCTTTTCATTAAGCTTGATTTTAAGAACTCTTGTAATTTCATCTCTAGCATTTGATAATAATTGGGGCATATATGGTGTTTCGTTATATTCTTTATAGTTAGATATTGGTTTAATAAATGCATATCTCAAATTTTTTATAGATGGAACTATGGCTTCCCAATTACTTAATAAATTTAAATTATCATGAGGTCTTTCTGGATCGCTAACTCTAATTTGAATAAAGTGAATACCAGTATCTAATACAGCATCATTTTCTATTAGATCTAATGTTTTGAGAAACTCAAATTCTTCTCGAGATAAATATTTATCTAAATCTATAGTATTCTTATTGGATGGGCCAGAAGAGTCAGAGACTTGATTCAAAGAGAAATCAGAGATTTGATGCTTTGTATCATTACCTGCTTCTGAATCGATTTGTGAAATTGAAATTGGATTTGTAGTAGGAATAACTTGAGGTCGACATGGAAATTTTCTATTTTGAAGATGACGATTAAGTCTCCATAACTTTTTGAATGATTTATTATATCTATTACACGTATGAAGCATTTTGTATATACTATATAGTTACAAAAGTATAATATATTACTTATATAAAATCTTTTGTTTAATTAATTATTTACATATAAGACCTGGCCCAAATTTTGTGACCCTTATTGAAATTTTGTTACCCTTTGCTATATATATATATATTTTTTGTTACCCCTTGGTATATATAGTTACATTTTTTGTTACCATTTGTTATATATGCATATATTTTTTGTTACTCTTGGGTCATATTTTTGTGCCAGTAAGTAGTGAAGAATCGGCTTTAGAATGAATTCCGTAATAACAAATAATATTTGTATCCTTTTTGTTATAAATTTGGGTAAAAGAATATGTTCTAGATATATAACAATATTGGTATACTGGTTGAGATTTTTGATGCATAAATGATAGTAAGCAAGATAACGTAAATTATTGTTATCTTTTTGATATAAATTTGAGCAGAAGATTGTATTCTAGATATACAAAAAATAATATCACTGTGCTAGAATTACTATGCAAACACAAATTTATTATTATTTGAGCGACGATGAGAGCATAAATTTATCGTCATTTATCTATTTTTGATATAAATTTGGGTAAATAAATGCGTTCTAGATAGAAATCATTGATTTGACGATGCAAAAGCGAATTTATATGCAAGATTGATATGGGTAACAAAAATTGTGCCAGAACTCCTAAAATGTCTCTACTAAAGTTGCTGCCCCAAAAATTATGATAAAGCTAAGAAGAAGGCATTAGAAATAGAGGAATACAGAAGGGATAAAAACCTTAACAAGAAAAAGGATTCAACCATACCTGAAGAAAATCAGCAAGCAAGTAAAGCAGATGTAGATATCGATAGTTTCGTAAGTGGACTAGCTGTACTAAGCATCAACCGTGTTGAGAATGAAGAAAAATTGAGCCGAAGTGATGTAGAAAACATGGTAAAAGACATTACAAACAAGACAATATGAGTCAAAATAAAAGGCTGAATCAAATAAAGAATAGCAAACCTCACATATATTACCTGTGCTAACAAGAAGGTCATATAGTGAAAGACTGTACTGTCCGAAATGCAGCTCAAGCTCTAGACAATTTGACAAAAGTGTGACATTTAATAACGCTGATGTATGACTATTTGAATTCACAGAAACAAGTTCCAAAAAGAATGATGAATACTTAAAAATAGAACTGTTAAACGAGAATGAATGTGGGGATGTACAAGTATTTGGTAAGAGAAAAAGAGAAAATGATGTTAATGAGACGATACCATTGAATAAAAAAGAGAAGATTCGAGAAGCAACACATGATAATGAAAAGGTTGATGAAATAACGCAAAATAGTCAAAACTCAAAACCTATAACAAAGTAATATATATACTATTTGCTGAACTTTCTGAATAATTTGACATTCTTAAAAAGATGTCAGGTATAGAGATAATACTTACAATGGGTCAATTATTTAAGTGGTCACCAAAAGCTCGATCAGAAATAATGAAAGCATTAACACAACAAAGAAGCGACAACGTTGATAATCAAAATATAA